CCCCTGGGAACACATGGGCCCTAAGGCAACAAAACCTCTTAAAAAAAAAAAACCAAACAAACCTATTGGAAAAATGGAATTAAGCTATGAGTATATACGCCAGCAGATGGCGTAGCAGTTACGCGGTTGAACTCCCACAATACCATGTTTTGAATCCCAGACCCTATGGGGACCTGGTGGCTTAAAACTCACCCTGGACATGTGTAGTTGAGTGCCCAAGATCCTGGGAATAGAACGGAGGAGAAGGGATTGCAGTGTGGCCATCCTCTCTGGGCGGGGGCAGGGGATTTCTCACTTTCCCTCTCACTGTCTCTGTCTCTCTCTCTACACAGCGAGTGCACATGCAAACTCCTCTTAAAAAGAAAAGAAAGAAAAAAGTACGAGTTTATTTTGGTGCAAACATTTTTTGAAATCCACGCATAGTTTTTTTTTTTTCTTCTAATTCTCATTTCCCCTTACCTTTTTTTAATTTTAATTTTTAAATTTTATTTGCTATAGGACGTGTGCTGGAGACAGAGACAGAGAGAGAAAGGGAAAGTGAGAAAGCACCTCCAGGGGGAACAGCCGCGCTGCAATCCTTTCTGCATTCTCCTCTCGGGATTTTGAGCACACGCACACAGGCCTGGCATTGCCTCCCAAGATACACAAAGTTGGTCGTGTGCGATGAGCTACCTTAGTCACCACGCCACCTGGATGTCTCCCTCCACTCCCCCTGGGGGGGTACTTTCTAGCTACAAGGGACAAACAAAAATGGTTACTGTGGGGACCAGCAGTTAGCGTAATGGCTATGTCGCTGAATTCCCATGTAGTCGACTGCAGTTCGAGTCCCAGACCTGGTGGCCACATCAGGCGTCTGTGTGCAGTGCCCAAGATCCCGAGAGGAGAATGGAGGAGAAGGGATTGTGGTGTGGCCATCCCCCTTGGGGGATGATTTCTCGCTTTCTATCTCTCTGTCTCTCTCTATCTTTCTGGAGAGTGCATGTGCCCTATAGCAAAACAAAACAAAACAAAACAAAACAAAATGAAAAACAAAAAAAATAAAAAAAACCTCTCCAAAAAAAAGAAAAAAAAAAAGGGTTACTCTGAGCAGCCATTTGATTGGCGCTGGAAGAATTCAAGCCAGGGATGGGAGCCGACGCTCCTTCTCCCCTAAGATCCAGGGACTTCTGGACCAGCAGTTGGTATAATGGCTATGTCGCTGGACTCCCATGTAGTCGACTGTGGTTCAAGTCCCAGACCCGGTGTCTTAAACTCACGCCGGGCGCGTGTGCGTGTGTGCCCAAGATCCCGAGAGGAGAATGGAGGAGAAGGGATTGCGGCGTGGCCATCCCCCTGGGGGGTGATTTCTCGCTTTCTGTCTCTTGATCTCTCTTTGTCTTTCTGGCGAGAGCATGTGCCCTATAGCAAAGACCTCTTCAAAAAAGAACAAAAAAAAAAAAAATAAAAAGATCCAGGGACTTCCCCCCAACCTGGGGACCGATGAGGGAGAAGGACGTTGGCCAGGAGAGGGCTGATCTCTGTCACCCGTGAGCCATACCCTTCCTGTTTGATCTCTACCAACCAAGTGACAAGGAGCCCTTCCTGTGTTCCCCGCCCACCACCCCCAGGGGCCCTGGTGTTTTGGCCTGCCTTCCCAGGCAGGGGTTGGGTTGGCGGTCTGTGACCAGAGCAGCCTCAGAGGCCTCACATGGGGACAGGGGTGAGGAAGGAAATTCTGGGGGCGTGTCTACACCCAGCACAGTCTGGTGAATGGGAGACCGGATGTGTGGGGTAATTATTCAGCTCTGGGAAGGAGGGAAAACAAGTCAATGGGGCTTCACCCGAAAACCCCTGGGGAAAGCCTCCTATCAGGCAGGCGGACCCGGGGCCTCTAATCCCAGTGGGGGGCTGAGGTGCCTGGAAATTTCTGCTGTCTGCCTTGAGGGTGGGTGACTGTCTGGTGTTGGAGAGATGAGGGAGGCCGGAGGGGCCAGGCTCTGGGGCTGGCCTTAGTCAGGGTTTGACAGACAGGATGGTTGCTCATTCATTCAACAAACTTTCCTTCCTTCCTTCTTCCCCCTTCTTCCTTCTTTCTCTTTCTTTCTTCTTTCTTTTTTAATTGCTAGAGGACACATGTATACCCCAGAGAGAAATAGAGAGAAGAGGGACCAGCAGTTGGCGTCATGGCTATGTCGCTGGACTCCCATGTAGTTGACTGCAGTTCGAGTCCTGGACCCAGTGGCTTAAACTCACGCCGGGCGCGTGTGCGTGCATGCCCGAGATCCCGAGAGGAGAATGGAGGAGAAGGGATTGCGGCGTGGCCATCTCCCCTGGGGGGTGATTTCTCGCTTTCTGTCTCTATGTCTCTCTTGGTCTTTTTGGCGAGTGCATGCGCCCTATAGCAAAAACAAACAAACAAACAAACAAACCTCTAAAAAAAATAGAAGTAGAGAGAAGAGAGGGAGAAAGCACCCTCCCAGTGGGGCGTGGTCACTCTCACACAATTCCTTCTCCTCTGTTCTCCTATGGGACATGAGCATGCATATGCCTGGCATAGCTTTCAAGTCTCTGGGTCTGGGACTCGAACTCACACTGTGCAGTTGGCCATGTGAAATGCAGAGTGAGAGGGAGAGAGAGAAAGAGAGCAGAGAAGAGGGAGAATGTGCCCCCCCCCCATCATGAGGCATGGTCATGCCACAATCCCTTTTCCATTTCTCCCTCCTGTCAGGACTTACTTGGGGCCACGCACATCTGCCCAGCACGTTTGCCAAGCCACTGGAGGCAGTTTGTTTGCTTATTTATTTAAAGGTTTTTGCTATATGGTGCATGCGCTTACCAGAGAGACAGAGAGACAGGAAGTGAGAAATCACCCCCCAGGGGGGATGGCCATGCCGCAATCCCTTCTCCTCCATTCTCCTTTCGGGGTCTTGGCCTTCTCACATGGCTACTGTATCACACAGCAGTGACCTACCGCCTGAGCCAATGAGGTTGGGCTAGGGAGCTTTTGATGACAGAGAAACATTCTGTCCTTTTGGCCTACTCACCCATCCCTGACCCTCCTCTTCTCCCCTCCGCTCCCCTGTCCCCATGTCTCTTTGGAGCTGACCCTGCACACACCCCCCTGGAAGCTGAGGGTCCCTGCATGTGCTCAGCAGGTGTTCACTGAGCAAGTAGACTCTTCCTCTTCGATCTGCCACCCCCCTCTCTAGACCGGCACCGTCACACCTGCCCCTCAGGCAGGAGGGAAGGTTCTATGACCTCAAGCCAACACTGGGGGAAAGCCCAGCCCCAGGGCGATCTTTCCGTGGAAAGGGAGGCTGAGGGGCGCTGGCCCATCTGTGCTGGGGAAGGTTTTCCACTGATGTGGACGGAATGGTTCGTATTGAGACTGTCAGGTGAGAAATAGATTCCATCTTTTTTTTTTTTTTAAATAGGTTTTTGCTATAGGGTGCATGTGCTCGCCAGACAGAGAGAGAGAGACAGAGAGACAGCAAGCACGAAATCACCCCCCAGGGAGATGGCCACACCGCAATCCCTCCTCCTCCATTCTCCTCTCAGGATCTTGGGCACCCACGCACACGCACCTGGCGTGAGTTTTAAGCCACCGGGTCCGGGACGCGAACCGTGGTTGACTACGTGGGAGTCCAGAGACATAGCCATTATGCTAACTGCTGGTCCCACATAGATTCCATCTTGTCCAAACTCCTCTGGGTCTGAATCTGTTTTGGCAACCCAACCTAATGAACACTACACTATAATATATACATAATAAGTATCTAAATATATACTATAAATATAAATAAATATATGCTATATATTATATACCTAATAAATATATACTATAATATATTCTATAGTATATATAATATCAATAGAACATTGTACTAACATTGTTATACCATACAATACCATACAAACATTATCATATTAAAATTACATGAATATTTATTGTATTAAATAAAATAATATTAACATAATACAATAATAATAAATAATACAGTAAATAATATTATTATGGTAATATAATTATATTCTATAATTATTAATTAACTTTTTTTTGGGAGAGATTTTTGCTATAGGGTGCGTGTGCTCGCCAGAAAGACAGAGACAGAGAGACAGAAAGTGAGAAATCACCCCCCAGGGGGGATGGCCACGCCACAATCTCTTCTCCTCCATTCTCCTCTTGGGATCTTGGGCACGCACGCACACATGCCTGGCGTGAATTTTAAGCCACCGGGTCCAGGACTCGAACCACGGTCGGCTACATGGGAGTCCAGCGACATAGCCATTACGCTAACTGCTGGTTCCTTAATTAATGATTAATCAAGTCACATCAATACATTAGTAATCATACATAATATATTAACATAATAATTAATAACAAATAACGGAATTATATAAAGATTAATCATTAAATTATTATATTAACGTAATTAACAATTAAATAATTTAGTCATATTATGGTTTATGGACATAATGATTAATAAGTGATAAAATTACGTCAATATAGTAATAATTAAATAATATAGTTATATTAATATAGTAATAACACAATATAATGTTATCCTTATAGTAATTAATGATTAATCAATAAAATAATAGAATGATATTAATATGCTACAATATCCATATAGTAATTAATAAGTAAATAATGTCATTGCATGATATTAATATAGTGATATAATGATAATATTGCAGATATGTTATAGCATATATGATAATAGAGATAAAACACTGGGCACATGTGTGTGCATGCCCAAGAATTCCAGAGGAGGGACCAGCAGTTAGCGTAATGGCTATGTCGCTGGACTCCCATGTAGTCGACCGTGGTTCGAGTCCCCGAGGAGAATGGAGGAGAAGGGATTGGGGCCATCCCCCCTGGGGGGTGATTTCTCGCTTTCTATCTCTCTGTCTCTGTCTGTCTGTCTGGTGAGTGCACGCGCCCTATAGCAAAAACCTCTCCAAAAGAAAAAAAAAAAAAAAAAAAAAGAATCCCAGAGGAGGATGAGGAGAACGGATTGTGGTGTGGCCATTCCGCCTGGAAGGTGATTTCTCACTCCCGTCTCTTCCATCTCTCTGTATTCAGTGCATGCTTTGTAAAAATAAGAACCCAGCCAGGTCTCCGAAGGAAGGCCCTTACCCGTGTTTTCCGCCCAGGCCTTTGAGCTCTGTAGGCGCACACCTGCAGGGACTGTTGCTATTACTCTTTCTGTGTAGGAGTCCAGTGTGGGGAGAAAGGCATGCACTCGTGTGTGTGTGTGTGTGTGTGTGTGTGTGTGTGTGTGCATGCGTGGATGTGCTGGGGGCGGTGGGAACCATCGGGCGTTCCCTTTGAGATGAATTTGCATGCGCTTGACTTCTAAAGAGAAAGGGAACCGAGAGAGCTGACACCTGAGTGGGAGGAACGAGGGGTAGAAGCTGGCAACTTCTGGTCGCACCTCTCAGACTCGGCACGAGCCCCAGCCATGCACCCTTTCTATACTAACACCGGATGCCCCACTCGACCAGGTATGGCCTTGGTCAGGCTTGGGCTGGGGTCTGGGGAATGGGTGCAGTCCCTTCTGGGGCAACTGGGGCCGTAGACCAGGGTCTAGGGATGGAGGGAGAAATGGGATGGACCCTGACTTGCCCTTCCTCTGGCAGGGACCAGGGAGGAGGAGGATGATGATTATGAGAACTCGGCCCCACCCTACAAGGACCTTCCTCCCAAACCAGGTGAGAGGACTTCTCGAAGGCCAGATGTGTGGGTTCGGGGATGGAGGGAACACAGCCAGCTCCTGCTGACCACGGGAACTCCGAAACCCACAGCCTGGAGCATCTGTCAGCCTGCTGGGGAAGGTCATTCTGGGCACAGCCTTGGGTGAGCAGAGCCGATAGGAGAGGGACCAAGAGATTGGGGAATTGAGGACGCCATCTGCAATGGCAGGGGAGACAGGGCTAGAGGAGGGGACACTGGAGTGAGACTTTAGGAGCATTTGCCAGGAAGAGAAGCCCAGGGAAGAAATGAATGGGTGGGCATTCAATCCCTGGGACATAAAAGCCAGTGTTTGAGAATTGGTGGGTATATGGCTGGCCCTCCAATTTCCACGGATGTACACCCAATGTCCAGGGCTCAGCTAGACTTGAGTGGCCTGGGGCTGGCCCAGGGTTTAACATGAGCCTTGTTAAGAGTCTGATAAAGGGGACCAGCAGTTAGCAGCGTAATGGCTATGTCGCTGGAATCCCACGTAGTCGACTGCAGTTCACGTTCCGAACCCGGTGGCTTAAAACTCACACCAGGCACGTGTGCGTGCGTGCCCAAGATCCCAAGAGGAGAATGGAGGAGAAGGGATTGCGGCGTGGCCATCCCCCCGGGGGGTGATTTCTCACTTTGTGTTTCTCTGTCTCTCTCTGTCTTTCTGGTGAGTGCACGCGCCCTATAGCAAAAACCTCTCAAAAAAAAAAAAAAAAAGAATCTGGATAAGGGGCTATAAAAGGAGACTTTTGAGAGGTTCCCCAAATTAACTCCACCAGGGACCTGCAGGTTACAAGAGGCTCGTGGGGTCCAGGTGGATGGTGCAGCTTTGGCATATTTGGACAGGAGCTAGGGTTGGGGCTCTGTGTCTCTCATGTCTGGGTCCAGAGTGGGGCCACCCTGGGAGGACTAGGGATACTGTGGGGTTTCCTCTGAGGTAGGAGTTGAAGTGGGCTATGACATTTAAAACAATAAATCCTAATGTAATTTTTATATTAATTTTGTAAATGTTAATTAATTCATTCAGTTTGACCAGAGAGGGACAGAGAGAAAGAGAGAAAGCGAGAAAGCAAGTTGCCAGGTCTGGGACTTGAACCATGGTTAGCCATGTGAGAGTCCAGTGCCCTTAACCACCATGACACCTGCTGGCCCCGAATTTATTTATTTATTTATTTATTGAGAGTTTTTTTGCTATAGGATGCGTGTGCTCGCCAGAAAGACAGAGAGAGAGACAGAGAGACAGAAAGCAAGAAGAAATCACCCCCCAGGGGGACGACCACACTGCAATCCCTTCTCCTCCATTCTCCTCTCAGGATCTTGGGCATGCATCCAGTGTGAATTTAAGCCACCGGTCTGGGACTCGAACCATGGTGGACTACATGGGAGTCCAGTGACATAGGCATTACGCTAACTGCTGGTTCCCTAAATTTAATTTTTTAAATGGTTTTTGCCATAGGGCATGTGCGCTTGGCAGAGAGGAGAGAGAGAGACAGAGGGAGATGGGGGAGGGAAGGTGAGAAATGAGCACCCAGGGGGGATGGCCATGTTGGAATCCTTTCATTCTCCTCTTGGAGTTTCGGGCACTCATACACAGGCACCTAGCACGATTTCGAACTGCCAGGTCCCAGACTCGAACCTCACTTGGCTGTGTAAGACTCTGGAGCCTTAACTATCCCAGTATCTGCTGGCCTGTCAAATTTAATTGTAACTTTAAAAAAAATGTAAAAATTTGTGTATGCGCCCACTGGAGAAAAACAGAAACTGAGAGGGAAAGTGAGAAAGCACCCTCCAGAGAGATGGTCACACCTCAGTCCCTTTCCTCGCGATTTTTCTCGCACCTACTATTTTTTTTTTAAAGAATTATTTTATTTAACTTTATCATTTATTTATTTTAATTGGACCAGAAAAAACAGAGTGAGCGAGTGTGAGAGAGAAAGTGAGAAAGCAAGCTGCCAGGTCCAGGACTTGAGCTGTGGTTGACCATGTGGGTGTCCAGCATCCTTAACCGCCATGCCGTCTGCTGGCCCACACCTGCTGTTTTTCAAGCTTCTGGGATTGGGATTTGAACTGCAATTGACCATGTGGAACCTGGCTCCCTTAACCACTAGACTTCTGGGCTGGCTCATAACCTTATTTCTTTTTTTTTTAGAGATTTTTGCTGTAGGGCATGTGTGCTCATCAGTGGCACAGAGACAGAGAAAGAGAAAGGAAGAAATCACCCTCCTTGTCCCCACATGGGGGATGGCCATGCCACAATTCATTCTCCTCTGTTCTCTTCCTGGAATTTTGGGCACACGTATGCACTTGGTGTGAGTTTCAAGCCACTGGGTCTGGGACTCAAACCATGGTTGGCCATGGGGGAGTCCAGCGCCTTAACCACCATGCCACCTGCCAGCCCCTATAAACTTGTTTCTATTGTTTTCTCTCTTTTTAAAAAATTTTTATTTATTCATTCATTTATTTTAATGTGGAGAGAGAGAGAGAGAGAGAGAGAGAGAGAGAGAGAGATAGAAAGCAAGCCGCCACCCGGTCTGGGACTCAAACCCTGGGCAGCCAAGAGTGTCCAGCGCCTTAACCACCACGCCACCTGCTGGCCTCCCCTCTATCAGTTTCTTTGATCTCCTTTCCATCCTCAGACCAGCCCTGATCCTGGTATTTCTCTTCTCCAGGTTCGAGGGCTCCACCACGACCTCCACGGGCAGGTGAGCAGGGGTGGGGGTCCCGGAGACCCAGTGCCAACTTTGCCCTGCTCTGAGCCTGAACAAACATTCCTCCCTCCTCAGGAAGGAAGACAGAGAACCCCCCGCTACCTAGCAAGTCCCCAAAATTGACAGGTAAGAGCCTCGGGCTGGGATTTTCTCACTCAGCTGGTCAAAGCTCTGTGTGGTCTATGTTTTTTCCATTCCCTTCCAGGCTTGGAGTTCACCCCTGTAACCCACACATCTCCTGGTAAGCAGTGGAAAAACCCTTTATGTAATTGTTTAGTTATTTATTTATTGAGAGAGATTTTTGCTGTAGAGCGCGTGGGTTTGCTGGAGAGACAGAGAGGGAGAAAGCAAAAAAACTAACCCTCCCTCACCCCCTCCGGGGGATAGCCACGCTGGAATCTCCTCTTCTCCCCCATTATCTTCTTGGGATTTTGAGCATGCACACACACGTGCCCGATATTTCACATGCTGGGGTCTGGGACTCGAACCATGATTGGCCACGTGGAAGTCAAACATCTGGTTTTATTTTTTTTTTGCCAAATAATTATTTTGTTTAAATTTATTTATCTGTCTATCTATTTATTTATTTAAATTTGACCAGAGAGGGAGAGAGAGAAAGAGAGAGAGAGAAAGAGAGAGAGAGAGAGAGAGAGAGAGAGAGAGAGAGAGAGAGAGAAAGCCGCCAGGGCGTGAACTTGGACTTGAACCATGATCGGCCATGTGGGAGTCCAATACCCTTAACCACACAGCACCTGCTGGTCCCTGGAGTCCAACATCTTAACCACTGTGCCACCTGCTGGCGCCCTGGAAGACAGTGTTTTGGCACCTACTGAATAACCCTTTTCCGCCTTCTCCCAGGTATTGATCTGGAGCCCCCCTCGTCCCAGCCAACCCTAACCTGTAAGTCCTCATCTCCTTCCGTGTCTCCCACTGCCCCCTGGTGGTGGCCAGTGGATTTGGTTCCGATCTGCAGCTCCAGGATGAAACCCTGGGCCATGAAAACTTCTATTACAAGCCGCTTCTTCCAGCGTACTTGCTGGCCCCCAGTGATCCAGGGTGTCTCCTGAGTGCTCTTCAGGTCCCAGTTCATCCTTTCTTCTTTCTTCTTTTTCTTAAAGAGATTTTTGCTATAGGGTGCTGTGCTCACCGGAGAGACACAGAGAGAGAGAGAGACAGAGACAGAAAGTGAAAAACTACCCCCCCCCCAGGGGGGATGGCAACCCAGCCATCCCTTCTCCTCCATTCTTCTCTTGGGATTTTGGGCATGCACGCACACACGTCTAGCATGTTTTGAGATGCTGGGTCTGGGACTCAAACCACGGTTGGTCATATGGAGTCCAGTGCTGTAACTATTATGCCACCTGCTGTTCCTCCCCCCTTTAAAAACTGTTTTATTATTATTATTATTATTATCATGTTTTAGTTTTTGCTATGGGGTACATGTGCTCACTGGAGAGAGAGAGAGAGAAATGAGAAAGCATCCCCCAGGGTGGATGGCAGTGCTGCAATTCTCTTCCCTCCATTCTCTTCTTGGGATTTGCATAAGATTGCATGCCCAAAGTGTTTTTCAAGCCACCAGGCCTGGGACTTGAACCATGCAGTTGGCCATGTGAAATCTAGCACCTTAATCACCACTCCACCTGCTGGCCCCTGGGGCTGGGGTTTGAAACGCAGTCAGCCATGTGGGATCCAGCTCCCTTAACCACCAGACCCTGGGGCCAGCCCACATCATAGATATTAAGAGCAGAGTTGGTGGGGGCCAGCAGGTGGTAGGGTGGTTGAGACGATGGATTCTCACATGGCTGACCGTGGTTTGAGTCCTGGATCTGGTGGCTTGCTCTCTCACTTTCCCTCTCTCTTTCCACCCCCCCACCCCGGATCAAATGAAAAATAAGTAAATAAAATTAGATAAAAAATTCTGTAAAAAATGAAAAGAGCAGAGTTGGGTTGAAGTCACATACTACCTCACCACACTTGAATTTATTTATTTAGAGAGATTTTTGCTATAGTTTTTTGCTATATGTGTGCTTGCTGGAAAGACAGAGAGATACAGAGACAGAGAGAGAGAAATCACCCCCCTGGGGGGGGGATGGCCATGCTGCAATCCCTCCTCCATTCTCCTCTGAGACACACATGCACACGTGCCTGGCGTGAGTTTAAGCCACCGGGTCTGGGACTCAAACCATGGTCAACCAGTGGGAGTCCATTGATAGAACCACTCTGCCAGCTGCTGGCCCCTGTCCTGCTCTTGGATAAATGTTCACGGGTTCCGTCCTCACTCTCTAAAGCACTCCTATTGGGTTGTCTGTCTCCATCCCACGCTCCCAGCTACTCCAGTGCCCTGGATTGGTCAGAAGTCTGGGGGTCCCAGGTGCTACCAGGAAGAGAGAGTGATGCCATACCTGTGTATGCTGGTGGTGACCTCACTGCTCCTGAGTTGCATCGGTCTCACTGTGACCCTGGTTAAGTGTGAGTAGGACCAGGATCGGGCATGGAGTGAGGCTGGGGAGGGGGCAAAGGAGGACATGGGTGTAAGCTGGATTCTCCCTCATAGACCAGGAGGTGGTGGAAGAGCTGAGGATGGTCACCTTGCAGCAGAAGGCGTGGCGAGCAAATGGTGAGTGCTTTCTGTCATCCTGTCATGCTGTGCTTGTTGACCATGGACACTGTCCTCAACCCATCTCCAAGACCAGCCGTGTCCCCGTCTTTGTGAGGCATTGTTCTGAGTACCAGGGGAAATGATAAGGACATCAGACACAGTCCCTGTCCCTGTGGAGAGTGAGTGTGTATGGGTGTGTGTGTGTATGTCTTTAGATCTCCCCTGTCCAATATGGCGGCCATGGGCACTTGAATCATAGCAAATCTTGGGGACCACCAGATGGCATAATGGTTACGTTGCTGGACTCCCATGTAGTTGACCGCAGTTTAAGTCCCAGACCTGGTGGATTAAACTCACACTGGATGTGTGTGCGTGTGTGCCCAAGATCCCGAGAGGAGAATGGAGAAGGGATTGTGGCATGGCCATCCCCCTTGGGGAGCTCGAGCTCCTCCAAGCTTACCCCTTAGTGTGCTAAGTACCCTTTCCCAACATACTTGCTTTGAGGGTGGTCTCTGCTGTGCTGCCTCCTTCTCCCCTGCAATGGGTACTGAATTACCTTCTTCCTTTAAAACTCACCTCCTCCTGGATGCTCACTATTCCCACTCTTCCTCAAATTCCAGGGATTGATTCCCACCCCCCCAAGCCACTCTAGAACCCCATGGACATCTGAACACGTAGTGTTTTGAGTTCTAGCATGACCTGCTAGAACATGGATGCAGTGGGGATCACATCTCCCTCTCTCTCTCTCATCTGTCTATCGAGATACCATCTCTTTCTCTTTTTTAGTGTTTTTTGCCTAAGGTTATGTGTGCTTGTGTGTGTGTGTGTGTGTGTGTGTGTGTGTGAGAGAGAGAGAGAGAGAGAGAGAGAGAGAGAGAGAGACATGGAAAGTAAGACTTCATCCCCAGGGGGCATGGCCATGCTGCAATCCCTTCTCCTTTAATGGCCGTGCTGCAATACCTTCTCCTTTATTCTCCTCCCAGAATCTTAGGCATGCATACACAAGTGCCTGGCATGAGTTTCAAGCTACTGGGTCCAGGACTTGAATCATGGTTGGCCATGTGGAGTCCAGCAACATAACTGCTTTGCTATCTGCTGGTCCCTAGATACCATCTCTTCCATGAGTAATAGAGACACACACACAGAGAAAGAAAGACACATACACACACACACATACACACACCACTTCTAACAGTATCCCAATGCTCTGATCCATCCCCAGGCTCAGCCAGCCCCAGATCATAGGTGTGTGCATGCCTGGTCTACTCAAAGTGGTCTCTAGATATGAACCAGCAACCTTCCAAGGGGTCCACCTTGACGAGTGTTGTGTTTTACCCCTGTGCCACTGTATAGCCCTGGAAGTACGACTATTTCTTTTCTCTTATGTGTCTAAAGTTCGTGGTGGGTGGGTAAGTAGGTAAGGTTCTGGGTCTCTAATTCTCATGCTTATCCCTTCTGACAGTGACTGGCATGGCGGGACTAGCTGGCCTGAAGAAGGACATTGACCATGTAAGAGGTGACATGAATCAATCCCTGGTGGAGCTTCGGAGTTTGCTACGTGAGTAAGACTCAGGGAACTTCTCAGAGATGGGGGATGTGGTAGAGAAGGCACATTGCACAGCTCCATGGGGGTGATTCTGTGAAGTCTATGTGAATAGTCCTTACCTGGATTTGTACAGTGCACAACCTGTACTGCTGTTATATGGCATACCATGTTCATGGTCCTGGCTCTGGGGCCACCCTGACAGCATCTTATTCTGTCCCCAGACTGCACCAAGGTCACTTGTCCTGATGGCTGGCTCCCTTTTGAGGGTAAATGTTACTACTTCTCCATAACCACTAAGTCGTGGGATGGAGCCCGGACGTTCTGCCAGGAGAATTACTCTCACTTGGTCATCATCAGTAGCCCTGCTGAGCAGGTGAGCATTTCCTACAAAGCCCTTGAGAACCAGCAGAGCCAGTCTGCCTCCTTCCCTTTCCTGGATGGGGAGAAATTGAAATGGCTTTCAAGCTACTAAAACTTTAATAGCAAGCTCTGTGGACACAGTATAATGCAGGCTATGTTAGGAGGCCAGCAGATCATGTAGAGGTTAAGGTGCTGCATCTCATATGACTAGCTATGTGGTTTGAGTTCTGGACCTAGTGGCTTGAAAATTACACCAGAATGGGGCCAGCAGGTGGTGTGGTAGTTGAGGCACTGGACTTCCCATGTGCTTGACCATGGTTTGACTTCTGGACCTGGTGGCTATAAGGTGGATGTACTTGCTAGAGAGAGACAGAAACAGTAAGAAGGAAAATTAGAAGTCACCCCCTAGAGGGGACGACCATACCACAATCCCTTCTCTTCCATTCTCCTTCTGGGATTTTGGGCATGTACGCACACGGGCCACATGAGTCTTGCCCCCACCACCTTTCTTCCCACCCCTCCCCCTGAGATATTTTTGCTATAGGGTATATATTCTCACTGGGAATACAGGGAGACAGAAAGTGAGAACTCACCCCTGGAGGGACAGTCACACCACAATTCCTTTTCCTTCATTCTTCTCTTGGAATTTTTTTGGGTGCACACACACACACATCCAGCATGAGTTTCAAGCTGCTGGGTCTGGGACTTGAACTGCAGTGGGCCAGGTGGGAGTCCAGTGGCTTAACCACTACATTACCTGCTGGCCCCTATCATAACACTCTTTGATTAGTTTTTACATAATTTATCTTTTCTGATCTTTCCCCTTTTGATCCTATCTGTGTCATTATTTATTTTCAAAAGATTACTTATTAAACTTTATTTATTATTGGGCCAGCAAGACATGTTCATGTGAGAAAGAGAGAAAACATGAGAAGGCAAGCTGCTAGGTCTGGGGACTTGAACCATGATTGGCCATGTGGGAATCCAGCGTCTTAACCACCATACCACCTGCTGGATTCAAGTGTCATTATATTTAAAGTGGGTTTCTTGTAGATAGTATATTGCTGAGTCTTGGATTTTTAACATCTGATCAGATAATCTCTGACTTTTAATTGATATTTTTAAACTATTTACATTTAATACAATTATTCATTTGGGTCTACATTATTATTATTATCATTATTATCAAAAAGGTAGTTATTAATTTATTCTGAGAAATGGAGGGAGAGAGGCCCAACAGGATTTTAATATCATTATCCATCCACCTCTAGCCTCAGTCAGCCCTGGATCATGTGCATGTGTGCTTGGCATACCTGGTCTCTGGACACAAATCTACATGGATCAGTGTCACAGAGAGTCTCATTGTCACTGACCCACCATCCGGTCACCCATCTTATTAGTTTTTGCTTTATGACTCCTCTGGTTTTTTTTTTTTAATCCCTCTATTTTATAATATCATTTGTAAAAGTATTTATTTTATTTTATTTTATTATTTTTTTGAGAGGTTTTTGCTATAGGGTGCGTGCGCTCGCCAGACAGACAGAGAGAGATAGAGAGACAGAAAGCGAGAAATCAGCCCCCAGGGGGATGGCCATGCCGCAATCCCTTCTCCATTCTCCTCTTGGGATATTGGACACGCACGCACACGCACCGGGTGTGAGTTTTAAGCCACCGGGTCCAGGACTCCAACAGCGGTCAACTATGTGGGAGTCCAGCGACATAGCCATTATGCTAACTGCTGGTCCCCTCCCTCTTTTTAAAAAAAAAAAAAAAAGAATTGTTGGGGCTGGCAGGTGGCATGGTGGTTAAGGCGCTGGACTCCCACATGGCTGACTATGGCTCAAATCCCAGACCTGGAGGCTTGCTTTCTCACTTTCCTTCTCTCTCTCTTGCTCTGTCTCTGTCTGGTCTCATTAAAATAAGTAAGTAAATACATAGATTTAAATAAAAGAATTCTTTTAATACAAATAATTCTTTATTTAATTTTATTTATTATTATTAATCTGACCAGAGAGAGCCAGAGAGAGAGAGGGAAAGTGAGAAAGCAAGCTGTCAGGTCTGGGTCTCAGACTGCAATCAGCCATGTGGGAGTCCTGCACCGTAACCACCATGCCACCTGCTGGTCCCCAGGCTTGAGTTTCTGAAACACCAAAGCGAGATGTCCACTTCTCCCCACTTTCATTCTTGCTCCCCTCCTTTCCTGAAGCAGTGAACTGACGCAGAATATGGCTTCAAGTGTTGGTGGGGGTGTGGTGGTTAAGGTGGTGGATCCCATATGACTGACTGCATGGTTCAAGTCCCAGACTTAGTGTTTTTGAAAATATACTGGGCATGTATGTGTGTCCAAAATACCTAGAGGAGAATTGAAGAACGAATTGCAGTGGGGCCATCCTCCCGTGAGGGGGCGGTGATTTCTCACTTTCTCTCTCTCTTTCTCTCTCTGGAGAGCTCATGCACTTCGTAGCAAAAAAAAAAAAAAAGTTAGAATGTTAGGATACCACAGTATTTTAACATAGGGGGGACCAGCAGGTGGTATAGTGGCTAAGGCGTTGGACTCCCACATGGTTGACTGCAGTTTGAGTCCCAGACCCGGTGGCTTGAAAATCACACTGAGTGCGTATGTGTGTGGGAAATCCCGAGAGGAGAATGGAGGAGAATGGAGGAGAAGGGATTGTGGTGTGGCCATTCCTCCTGAGGGGTGAATTCTCACTTTCTCTCCCTGTCACTGGTGAGTGCACATGCCTTGTGGCAAAAACCTAAAAGAAAATAAACGAGTACTATGGGGCCAGCAGTTGAAGGGTGGTGAAGGCGCAGGACTCCCACACAGCTGACTGGTTCAAGTCCTAGACCTGGCAGCTTGCTTTCTCACATTCCCTCTCACTCTGTTTCTTTCTAATAAATTAAAATGATAAAATAAAAACCAGCTAAAACGGCAACTTTTTCAGAATAAAAGAGAAAAAAATCTTAAAAAAAAAATAGTACTTTAGGGGCCGGCAGGTGGCATGGCGGTAAAAGGTGCTGGACTCCCACATGGCTGACCATGGTTTGAGTCCCAGACTTGGCGACTTGCTTTCTTACTTTCTCTCTCTCTCTCTGGCCAAAATTTAAGAAATAATAATAATAATAAGGACTAGGAGATGGCATAATGGTTAGTTCGCTGGACTCCCACATAGTCAACCGTGGTTCAAGTCCCAGACCCAATGGCTTAAAACTCCTGCCGGGTCCATGTGCATGCGTACTCAGAATCTTGAGAAATGATTGGAAGAGAAGGGATTGCGGTGTGGCCCTCCCCTGTGGGGTGATTTCTTCCTTTCTGTCTCTCTAGTGAATGCACATACCCTATAGCAAAAAAATCTCTCAAAAAAAGAAGTAAATAATAATAATTAATGAAGATAAATAAATAATTCTTTAAAAAAGTACTTTAAGCATTTTGGGAACCAGCAGTTAGCGTAATGGCTATGTCGCTGGGCTCCCACGTAGTCGAACACGGTTCGCATCCTGGACCCGGTGGCTTAAAACTCACTCCTCTCCCGAGAGGAGAATGGAGGAGAAGGGATTGTGGCGTGACCATCCCCTTCTGGGGGGTGATTTCTCGCTTTCTGTCTCTCTGTCTGTCTGGCGAGCACACGCGCCCTATAGCGAAAACCTCTCTCTCAAAAAAAAAAAAGTACTTTAAGCATTTTAACCCATTTAATCCTCACAACAGCCCTATGAGGAAGTAGGTACCATTATCAACACGTTTTACGGATGAGGCATGGAACAGCTCACAGGTTATGTCAGAAAGGAGGACAGTCATTTCCACCGCATGTGCAAAAGGCAGAAATGGGACCAGCAGGTGGCGTGGTGGTCGAGGCACTGGACTACCACATGGCCGACCGTGGTTTGAGTCCCAGACTTGATGGCTTGCCTTTTCACTTTCCTCTTTCTCTGGTCAAATTAAAAGCGAATAAGAAGGGCCCGGCAAGTGGCATGGTGGTTAAGGGCACTGGGCTCCCATGTGGTTGTCGTTTGAGTCCTGGACCTGGTGGCTTGCTTTCTCACTTTCCCTCTCTCTTTCTCTCTCACACACACTCTGTCCCTCTCTGGTCAAATTAAAGTAAATAGGGAACCAGCAGTTAGCGTAATGGCTAACTCCCACGTAGTTGACCGCGGTTCACGTCCCGGACCCGGTGGCTTAGAACTCACGCCGGGCGTGTGTGCGTGCGTGCCCAAGATCCCAAGAGGAGAACGGAGGAGAAGGGATTGCGACGTGACCATCCTCCCTGGGGGGTGATTTCTCGCTTTCTGTCTCTATGTCTCTCTCTGTCTGTCTGGCGAGCGCACGAACCTCTCCCCCCCAAAAAAATAAAAAAAAAAAAAAAATTAAAGTAAATAAATAAAGTTAAATAAAATAATTCTTAAAAAAAAGAAAGAAAAAATAAAATATTTATGATGATTTAATTTGATGAGAGAGAGGGAGAAAGAGAAGAAAGTGAGAAAGCAAGCCACCAGGTCTGGGACATGAACCATGGTTGACCATGAGGGAGTCCAACACCTCAACTACTATGCCATCTGTCAGCCTCCAGACATAAATACTTCTTATCTTTTTAAAAGAATTATTTTATTGAACTTTATTTTATTTATTTTAATTATTTATTTAATTTAATTTGACTAGAGAGGGGAAGAGAAAAAGAGAGAGAGAGAGAGAGGGAGAGAGAGCGAGTGTACCAGGTCCAGAACTCGAACCATAGTTGGTCAAGTGGGAGTCCAACACCTTAACCATCATACCACCTGCTGCCCCCCATAAATAATTCTTAAAAAAGGGGAAAGAAGGTGTGGATCTTGCTCTGTATACAATAGGGTGTGGGGGCAGTGTTCCCAGGCCCCGAGTGCATGTGATAGAGGATAGGTTTGCCCCTCCCCCAAGGGTTGTCTGGAAGAATTGGGGTGGCTGATTGGCATTTGTTCTTGTAGAATTTCGTGGCCAAGGTTCATGGCTCTCCACGAGTGTTTTGGCTGGGACTGAGTGACAAGGACCATGAAGGGGATTGGAGATGGTTGGATGGGACTCCTGTCACAATAAGGCAAGTGTCCTTGGGTCCTGGGGTCTGTCTGCTCCCTCTGTGTGACCAGGGTAAGAGGAAATGTGATGGGGCGTGTGATTGGAGGAGCCACAGTTGGTTCTTACTGGTATAGCTAATACCGATTTATTATTTTAAGAAGTTTTTTTGTCTTCGGGTGAGTGTGTTTGCCGGCGAAGGACAGTGAGAAGGATTGTGAAAAATCACTCCCGGGGGTTGGCCATGCTACAATCCCTTCTCCTCTATTCTCCTTCTGGAATCTTGGGCAGGCACACATGTACATGTGCCCCGTATGATTTTAAAACCACTGGGTCTGGGACTTGAACTGCAGTTGGCCATGTGGGAGGCCAGAGATGTAACCATTATCCCATCTGCTGGTCCCCTGATTTTTTTTTTTAAGAGAGTTTTGCTAAAGGGTATGTGCGCTCGCTGGAGGGACAGAGAGAGACAGAGAGACAGAAAGTGACAAATTGCCCCTCCCCCAGGGGGGTTGGCCATGCTGCAATCCCTTCTCCATTCTTCTCTGGGGATTTTGGGCACACATGCACATGCACCCGGCGTGAGTTTCAAACCTTCAGGTCTGGGATTTGAACTGTGGTCAGCCGCGTGGGAGTCCAGAGCCTTAACCACCATGCCACCTGCTGCCCCCATATTGATTTTAAATATAAGGGGGTCTCCAAAAACTTAATGGGAGGGCTGATCCTGTGGCATGGTGGTGAAGGGATTTGGATCCCACGTGACCGATGGTACTGTTTGAGTCCTGAACTGATGGCTCAGGAAAACATGCCAGGGAGACCGGCAGATGGCACAATGGTTACGTCATTGGACTCCCAAGTAGTTGATCATAGTTCTAGTCCTGGACCCAGTGATTTGAAACTCATGCTGGGTGTGTGTGTGTGTGTGTGTGCGTGCCCAAAATGATGGGAGGAGAGTGAAGGAGAAGGGATTGTGGTGTGGCCATGACCATCCCTGAGGGGCGACTTCTTGCTTTTGTCTGTCTCTCTCTGTCTCTCTGATGAGTGCATGTGCCCTATAGCACAAATCTCTCTCTCTAAAAAGGGAAAACATACCAGGGATGTGTGTGTGTGTGTGTGTGTGTGTGTGTGTGTCTCAAATCCTTTTCTTTGGAGAGGTTTTTGCTATAGGGCGCGTGCGCTCACCAGAAAGACAGAGAGAGACAGAGAGACAGAAAGCGAGAAATCACCCCCCAGGGGGGATGGCCATGCCGCAATCCCTTCTCCTCTTGGGATCTTGGGCACACATGCACATGCGCCCAGCGTGAGTTTAAGCCACCAGGTCTGGGACTCGAACTGTGGTCAACTACATGAGAATCCAGCGACATAGCCATGATGCCAACTGCTGGTCCCAGCATGTGTTTATTATTACCGTATTCTACAGAACGGTTTCTCTGCCCTAAAAATATCCTGTTTGGGCCAGCAGGTGGTGTGGTGGTTAAGGTGCTGGATACCCACAGGGCTGACCAGGATTCCAGCCCTGGAGCTGGAGGTCTTGAAAACCACACCCGTTGGGGTTGGAGGAGGGGCAGCAGAAGGTGGCATGGTGGTTAAGGGTGCCAGACTCCCACATGGCTGACCATGGTTTGAGTCCCGGACCTGGTAGCTTGCTTTCTCACTTTCCCTCCTCTCTCTCACTCTCACTCTGTCTCTCTCTGGTCAAAGAAAAATAAATAAATAAATAAAATAATTCTATGAAAAAGAAAGAAAATCACACCAGGTGTGTGCATGTGCGTGTGTGTGTGTGTGTGTGCGCGCCCCCAAAGTTCCGAGATGAGAAAGGAGAAGGGATTGCAGCGTGGTCATTCTCCTAGGGGGTGATTTCTCACTTCACCTGCCTCTGTCTCTCTCTGTCTCTCTTTCTGGCTAGTGCACATGCCCTGTGGCAAAAGCTTAAAAAATAAATAAATATATACAGAAAATAAAATCCCTTGTTCATTCCTTCCCTGCCTGTTTTTTCCTGAATCCAGCTTCTGGGACCCCCAGGAACCCAACAACTTGAACGATGAGGACTGTGGGAGCATAAATGGCGGTGGCACCTGGAATGACCTTTCTTGTTTCAAAACGACGTATTGGATTTGCGAGCGGAAATGCTCCTGTTGAACCCCAGGACTGGAGCTGGGAGTCCTTCAGAGTGACCCTCAGGGTTGAAGATGAGATTCTCTTTCCTCTTCAGGAACGGACATAGAGGTGTCTCAGAACAGGGTTAGTGGGACCAGCAGATGGCGAAGTGATTACATCGCTGGACTCCCACATGGCCAACTGCTGTTCGAATCCTGGACCTGGTGGCTTGAAACTCATGCTGGGCGCGTGTGCGTGCGTGCCTAAGATCCTGGGAGGAGAATGGAGGAGAAGGGATTGTAGCGTGGCCATTTCCCCTGGGAGGTGATTTCTCACTTTCCCTCTCTCTATCTCTATGTCTCTCTCTGGCAAGCACACAAAAACCTCTTAAAAACAAAACAAAACAAAACAGGACTAGTACCCCAAATGTAGCAGGTTCCTAGGGGTGTAAGTCAGGTTTGCACAGGTGGGGTGGTGAGCTGGAGAGACCCCTGATGCAGGGCTTGGTGCTAGGTGGTCTCCCAATTCTGGGACCGTAGGACATTCTCCAAATTCTGGACCATGGCTTTTGGGAAATAAGGGTGACCTGAGGGCTCTGGGTCTGATTGAGCCCACGTTAAAATACTCTGGGTCCTGGGACCAGCAGTTGGCAGAATGGCTATGTTGCTGGACTCCCATGTAGTCGACCACAGTTCGAGTCCCGGACCCGGTGGCTTAAACTCACACCGGGCGCGTGTGCGTGCATGCCCAAGATCCCGAGAGGAGAATGGAGGAGAAGGGATTGTGGCGTGGCGTGGCCATCCCCTTTGGGGGGTGATTTCTCACTTTCTGTCTCTCTCTGTCTTTCTGGCAAGCGCACACGCCCTATAGCAAAAACCTCTCCAAAAGAAAAAAAAATACCCTGGGCCCTTTGAAACATAATGATCTGAGACTTGCTCCCTCACCTCCGACTCCACGTAAACTTCCGGAAAGTGAGTGGCGCAACGTGATTCTTTTTTTTCTTTCATGTTAACATTTTATTTAAACCAGAACATGTACCATGCTTAATAAGACTGTCCAAAGTAAACATGCAATACGGACTAGCAGAAACTGAAAGCACAGTTTAATAAATTACGCTACGGGGACCAGCATGGGGTGTGGTGGTTAAGGGCGCTGGACTCCCATGTGGCCGACTGCGGTTCTAGTCCCAGACCTAGCAGCTTTCTTTCTTACTTTCCCTCTCTCTCTCTCTCTCTTTCACTCTGTCCTCTCTGGTGCAATTAAAATAAAGTGGATGACTATGGAAGACTTAATACTAAGCGAAGCAAGCCAGGCTATGAAAGACAGACTGTATGTCCCCACTCAGTATATACGGATTGTCTGCTCTCTAGAGCAGACACTGAAAGTTTGGAAGGAATAGTAACTAGGGAGGGCAGATGTAGGTACTAGAGAGACTGAGGACAGAGTAATCCAGAGGTGGGTATTAGAGAGAGAGAGGAGGAAGGAAGTGGGGGGAAAAACCCTCATACGTTTAACTGACAGAAAAATGAAGTAATTTGTTTATGATAACGTGTATGGTAACGTCTTGACTGATACGCACCGTGTTTGTGCTGGAAAAAGCAATACTGTGCATCGTAAAGATAAATAGTGATTTAAATGAAAATGAAAAAGATAAATACATTAAAAAAAACCTTCTAGAGTTGTGGTAGGCAGCTAGTTAGCCATGAGCGGGCAGCCGTAGGAGAAAAGCGAAAGGCTCATCTAGCTCCGGGTGCCAGGAGGGCGAGGCAATTTGCTGTCTTCCTTCCTTGAGGCCTGAGGGAAGCGCACAGGGATGATTCGTAGATTTTTCTCTTATCAAAAAGACCTAAGTAAGCGTTTTGGTCAATGCCCCAATTCCTATTAGGGCGATGGACTAATTGGGCAATCTAATTGGGGCAACCTGGCTCACACTGGGCATGCGCAATTAGGTGATCAAATTCCTCATTCTTTACCTGCGAGGAAGGTGCGCAGGTGCAGGAAAAGAACGTGAAGATTCAAATTTAAAGGAAGGACATAGGCAGCCTAAGGGGCCGCCCACTAATGAATATTCATGACCTCTAGTAATCAAAATAACCGTTAACTAGGACCAAGCGCGGTTTCCACCTGGCAATCTGCCCGCCCAACCATCTTTTTGGGTGTACTTTCTTTCTTCCCTTTCCTTTCTTTCTATTAAATCTTTTTTTTTTTTCCTACCTACTTCATTCGTGGTTGCAGTTCCATTTTGCGCCTAGGGACAGATCTCTAATTTTAGTGATCTGGACCCAAAGAACGAAGAACTTCACAATGCAGCTCGACACTTGCCCATCTGTTAACAGAGTCTTCCAGTTTGATTCAAGTGATGGGATCCATCTGGTTTCTCTTGAACAATTCCCACTGCGCCAAGAGCTGACCCACCTCCATGTCTCCTTCCACCTAGACGCCTGCCCCCTGATTCATCACCGCCCAGACCAGCCCTGTATACTTTTCATAGCCTCCAGAGTGGGAGGATATTGTCTTCTACCCAAGGGACTGTGGGTCACAAAGACTGTTTCTCTGGGGGTCAGGGGAAGTTCCCGCATGTTAGAAGAGGAAACTCCGGTTTCCTCTCGCACGTGTGATGAGAAATGCGGAAGGAGGAGGTTGTGGTCATGTCTAAATCAAGCCCGGGAGCCGGCCCTAACCTATCTCCCTTCTAGATTGCTTACAGTTATTGAATTACACCCAGACAGCGAAACATGGAAGGATCCTCTTGTACAGCTTGCTTTATTTTTTTAATTTAAAGATTTATTTATTTAATTTCATTTGTTATTTATTTATTTAGGCCAGAGAGACAGAAAAAGAGAAAAACAAAAGGGGGGGGGAGGGAGAAAGCAAGCTGTCAGGTTTGGGACTCGAACTGCGGTCAGCCATGTGGGAATCTAGCACCCTTAACCACCATGCCACCTGCTTGCCCCTCTTTTATAGTTTTGAGACAGGATGATCAAAGATTGGATGTTCTTGGTGAACAGAAATAATAATGTGTTTTCTTTCTTTCTTTCTTTCTTTCTTTCTTTCTTTCTTTCTTTCTTTTCTTTCTTTTTTTTTTTTTTTTCAGTTTTAGCTATATGACGTGTGTGTTTGCCAGAGGGAGACAGAGAGAGAGAGAGGGAAAGTGAGAAATTATCCCTTGGGGGGATGGCTACACCATGATCCATTCTCCTCCATTCCTTTTGGTAGTTTCTTTTTTGGGAGAAATTTTTCCTATAGGGCGCATGCACTCACCAGAAAGACAGAGACAGAGAGTTAGAAAGCGAGAAGTCACCCCCGCCCCCAGGAGGGATGGCCACGCCGCAATCCCTTCTCCTCCATTCTCCTCCCAGGATCTTGGGCACGCACGCACACACGCCCGGTGTGAGTTTAAGCCACTGGGTCCGGGACTCGAACCACGGTCGGCTACATGGAAGTCCAGTGACATAGCCATTACGCCAACTGCTGGTCCCTCATTTATCTTTTTAAAATTTGACCAGAGGGAGACAGGAGAGAGAGAGAGAGAGAGAGAGAGAGAGAGAGAGAGGAGAAAGTGAGAAAGCAAGCTGCCAGGTCTGGGCCTCAAACCCCAGTCAGCCATGTGGAAGTCCAGTGCCCCAACCACCACACCACCTGCTGGCCCCACATGGTCAATCTTTTTTTTTTTTT